CCACGGACAGAGGGGGCCACGCCGAAGGCCCTATAGGGAGCTTTGCCGAAGGCCCCAGTGGCAGCGCCCGCGTGCCGCCGCCATTCCACTTTGGCACACGCCTCACACGGTTCGTGCCCCCATCATGAGCTCCACCGAAGACGATGTTCACAGATGCGGTACTCACAGCTGCATATGGTTGGGTCCTTCGCCAGGCTAGTTTTCACGGCGCGATCATGTCTGGACCCGAGAACCAGAAGCCCCGAAAGGCCCAAGGGGTCGATATGTCAGCGCGCACGAGAGGCGCCTCCACCACCACCTCCTCCTCCTCCTTCTCCTCCTCCTCCTCCTCCTCCTCCTCCTCCTCCTCCCTCTCCTCCTCCTCCTCCAATTCCTCCTCCTTCTTCAACTCCTCCTCCACCTCCTCCTCCTTCTCCTCCTCCTCCCGCACCTCCGCCAACAGAGGGCCCCAGGGGCTCCAACATTGAGCGAACAGCTTGGGGCACAATGGGCCAGGGGCACTTTTAGCAACACTCGATCACAAGGCCCCCGCCCCCCCAGATACTGTTAGCACCGGAGTTCGTTGAATCCCACCAGACCTTTGGGCGTAGGTGGTCCAACGATATCTTTTCTTTCCTCTTCCGACGCATATCTTCCCTTCGGGGAGGGGTACCCTGCCCTCCCCACCTTGTTTTTTTGTTTGGAGGGGGTCGCGAGTCGTCAGGGCGCCGCAGATTGCCCAAGGTGGCTTCAAGAGGGCGCCCGATGCTCTAATATGGCCTCCGAGATGGCCTAAGATGGCCGAGGATGGGTCAAGATGGCTTCCGACATACCTCCAAGAGGCCCCAAGAGGACCGCAAGACGACTCCAAGTGCTTTCGGAGCCCCCTCAGGAGGACCCTCCCAAGAGGCAAACATCATTTAAACAACCAACAATAATCAATGATTCTTGCCTTCTCGCCTTTTCGCTTCCGATTGGACTTTCAGGCCTCAAGATGTCCCAACATGGCCCAAGAGAACCCCAAGGGGGGCCCAAGAGGCCCCCCAGACGGCCCCAAGAGCGTCCAAGAGCGACCCAATAGCGCCACAAGAGGGTCCCAAGAGATGGTGTCGAGGGCTCTTGAGGGGGGGGCCTAAATCAAGGACCTCCCCCTTTTGATCGATGGCCTCCAAGATAACCCCAAGAGGCCCTCCAGGGCTCCAAAGATGCCCGCAAGAGGGCTCCAAGAGGGCTCCAAGACTCTCCAAAAGAGCCAGAAGAGGACCCCAAGACCCTCCGAAAGAACCCCAAGAGGGCCCCGAGAGAGCTCCAAAAGGACCCCAAGAGGGCCTCAAGAAGACCCTCAGATGGCTGCCAGAGTCCTTGTCGTCGTCCTCCTCGTTCTCGTCCTCCTCGTCCTCTCCTCCTCCTCCTCCTCCTGCTGCTGCTGCTGCTCCTCCTCCTCCTCCTACTCCTACTCTTCCTCCTCCTCTTCCTCCTCATCCTGCTCCTCCTCCTCGTCATCGTTTTCGTCCTCGTTCTCTTCATCGTCCTCCTCCTCCTCCTCCTCCTCCGTGTCCTCGTCTTCGCAAGCCTTCTCGTCCGTGCCCTCGTCGTATTCCTCGTCCTTGTCCTCTGATTCCTCGTCCTCCTTCTTAGTTGTAGTATTGATAGTAGCGTTAATAGTATTACTTTATTGTTGTAGTATTCTTATGATTATTAATACACGTATGATTGGCATTATTACCAGTATGATTTGTGGTTTTAGAATGAATATCAATGTTCGTCTTATGTGTGTGATTTTCATTGTTACAAGTAGTAATGTTACTGTGGATTTTCCTGTTACTATTATTATTAGTATTGTTATTATTATGTAGATTATCCTTCTTCTCCTCCTGCTCCTCCTCCTCTTCCTCCTCCTCCTACTCATCATCATCATCCTCCTCGTCGTCATCCTTTTCGTTCTCGTGATCTTCATCGTCCTCCTCCTTGTCCTCGTCCTCGCCCGCCTTCTCGTCCGTGCCCTCGTCGTTTTCCTCGTCCTTGTCCTCATCTCCCTCCTTCTTCCGTCTTCCTTAGTAGTCTGAGTGATATTACTACTATTGTTATTATACATAGTATTGATAGTATGATTCGTGTTGTTCGTATTAATGTTACGATGGCTCGTGATATGATTGCTAGTCGTACCATTATCGATATCCGTCTTTATCCGTACTATTACTACGTTTAGTTATGATATTATGGTTTTTTCTGTTTAGTATTCTTCTCAGTATGCCTCTTCTTGCTCACCTCCTCCACCTCCTCATCATCCTACTCCTTGCCTTCGTCTTCATCGTCCTCGTTCTCTCAATCGTCCTCCTCCTTGTCCTCGTCTTCGCCCCCTTTCTCGTCCGTGCTCTCGTCGTCTTCCTCGTCCTTGTCCTCCTCTTCCTCTTCTTCCTTTTCATTTCTTCTTTAACAGTACTATTATAATTAATACTAATATCACCACTACCATCATTCGTAGTATACGTATTATGGATGTTCTTACCCTGCGTCTTGTTATTCGTATCATTGATATTCGTATCACTATCATTATCATAAACAGTAGTACCATTCTTAGTATGACTAGTATGATTGGTTTTATGTTTAGTATTTCGTATTTCTCTTATTCGTCATCGTCTTCATCTCCTCCTCCTTCTCCTCCTCCTCTTCTTCCTCCTCCTCCTCATCCCTCCTCCTCCTCCTCTTGTCGTCGTCCATATCCTTCTCCTCCTCCCCCTTCTCCTCCGCATCCTGCGTTCAGCATGGTTGCGAGGTTTGGTTCACTATATGACTTTACGTGCGTCTTTCTCCACTTTGACATCAGCTCATGGGCAGCGTTTCTGAATGGGCTGGTGGGGGAACGCGAAGCGTGAACAAACATTTCGCCGAACACATGAGCGCACGGGCCTACGCTCGCGCTGCTCGCAGGGGCGAACACTAGAGGCGAACCGTTGGGCCCCCCTCCCTGGCGCGCGGAGCGCGCCAGGGGCGGCGCCGGAAGCGCCGCCAGGCGGGCCCAGCGCCGATCCGAGAAATCTGCGCGGAGCTCTGAAAGATTATGTTCATGTTGCTTTTCCATCGAATGAGTTGTCTGCAAGGGTCCTAAACATATAATCCCACCAGCCCTCTGGGAGCAGCTGGTCTAACGAGTTCATTCTGTCCACTTCAAAGACCCCGTTTCCCTTCGGGGAGGGGTGCCCCCCCCCCCTCTCCTTCCTGCAGCTTTTTGCAGGGTCTAGCGAGCGGTCAGGGCGCCCCAAATGGCCCAAGATGGCTCCAGAAGGGCCTCCGATGCGTAAAGATGGCCCCCAAGATGGCTCAAGATAGCCGAAGATGATTCAAGATGGTTTCCGACATGCCTCAACGAGGCCCAAGGCGGACCACAAGAGGGCTCCAAGCGCTCTCGGAGCCCCCCTCAGGATTTCCCGAAGAGGCCAACATCTTTCAAGAACTTGAGGGGCATCAGTGATGTTTGCCTTCTTGCCTTTTCCCTTCTGATGCAGTTGTGAGGCCTCAAGATGTCCCCAAGATGGCCCAAGGGAGCCCCAAGAGGGCTCAAAAGTCCCCCCAAGAGCGCCCCAAAGGACTCCCAAGAGGGCCCCAAGCTGCGATGTGGATGGCCCCAGCAGGGGGGAATCTGGGGACTCCTCTCAGCTGATCGACGGATTTCAAGATGGCCCCAAGAGGCCCTCCAGGGCTCCCAAGAGGTCCCAAAGAGGGCTCCAACAGAGCCCCAAGACCAAAGAGCCCGCAGAGGACCCCAAGAGCCTCCAACCCCCAAGATGGCCCCGAGAGGGCCGCGAGAGAGCCCTGAGAGGCCTCCAGAAGACCCCAAGATGGCTGGCAGAGTCTTCGTCTTCCTGCTCCTCATCCTTCTCCTCGTCCAGCTCGCGTTCGTCCTCTTCCTCCTCGCCCTCCTGTTTCTCCTCGTCCTCCTCCTCCTCGTCCTCGTCCTCGTCCTCCTTCTCGTCCCCGTCCTCCGCCTCGTCCTCCTCCTCCTCGTTCTCGTCCTCGCCCTGGGTCTGTTCAGGTTGATCCTACTCTTGCTCCACCGCAAGATTCCGCACTGCCCTGATCAAGGTAACTCGCCTGGGCATCGTGTCTGGATGGGCTGGCGGGGACACGCGAAGCGCAAGAGCCGAGAGCGGGCATCGCCCCCCGTGGTCTCCCGTGGCCTCTCGTGGGCTTCCGTGCCCTCTCATCGCATCCGTCTGGCTCGCAATCGTACTGCTGTGAGAGCTCGCAGCGGTTTTCGCATTCGCAGTCGGGTGTCTATCAGTTTTGGTGGCAGCCGTGCATGGATTCTATTCGTGCTTGGTATCGTTAGTAAACCTAGACAGAAGTCGTACTGTTGGCATTACCGGTTTCAAGACTAGTTAGCAGGTTGTCACATCCTGAATCGGGCGAGCGACGGTGCCTCCCGGTGCTTCCCGTTACCTCCCTATCCTGGTTCCGCCACCGTAGCCCCCCCATCGCGATCCCCCACCGTGGCTCCCATCGAGAACATAGAAAGCTATTCAAGTTCGTCTGCCGCACGGGTGTCATTTCGCTGTCTATGTACATACTGTGCTTTCACACCAGGCGTTGCAATCTGTTCACGCCGCGCGTTCTCGCCCGGTTTCGGATCTTGGGACCATCGCAAGTCGATCCAGCCCGAAAAATGAACTAGAAAGACGGGGTTATGGCTCTGGTCGTGACTTTTCGTGGCGTCGCAACACTTCTGGAAGGCTTTTCAGGGAATCCCGCGCGTGGGCCGCGGCCTTGGCCCCGACGACGGCGGCGGCTACGTGCAACGGTGGTGGATGAGCGACGACGACGACGGCGGCGGCGACCCTCGACGATGAGAACGACAACGACAACGACGACGACAGCGACGACGACGACGACTCACGACGACGATAGCGACAGCGAGGCCGACGACGACGACGAGGACGAGGACGAGGCCGAGGACGAGGACGACGACGAGGACGAGGACGACGACGACGACAACGACGACGACGAGGACGACGACGACCGCGGCCTTGACCCCGCGGCCGCGGCCACGATGGCCGGGGCGGGCCGCGCGTCGAAGTGCACCTTCGTGGGGCTGAGCGCGTGCTCGTAGTGCGCCAGCGGCTGGCCCAAGCCGAGTTTCCCGCTGTCCGCCCGGCCGACGGTGAACACCTCCGAAAGGGTTCCTCCTCCTCCTCCTCCTCCTCCTCCTCCTCCTCCCCCTTCCCTCCTCTCTCCTCCTCTCCCCCTCCCCCCCTCCCCTCCTCCCCTCCTCCTCCTCCTCCTCCTCCTCCTCCTCCTCCTCCTCCTCCTCCTCCTCCTCCTCCTCCTCAGAGAGATCTCGGAGGCCCTCTGGCCCAAAGGTTGACACCAACACCAACATCCGCGGTGTGCCTCCACCGAGGGAAGACGATCCCGATCTCGATGATGGTATCAACATCCGGGCTTCCCAGGTGGCCGAAGCATCACACCACCAACACCAGAATCCAGGATCATCTTCCCCAAGTGGAGGCAAGCCCCTGTGTTGGTGTTGGTGCCCCTGTCCGAGCCTCCAGCGATGCCTGAGCTCAGGCCTCCGACGACGTGATCTTTTTCAACCGGCAGTTTTGCGTCGAGGAGCGGTTTGAGGGCCCGGGGGCCTCAGAAACGGATCTGGGGCGAAAAACTTTCCCCCGGGGAAGGGGTCTGGAACTCCGGGGCCGGGGACCCAAAAAACAGATCGGCGGACGTCAGGGAACGGGGGGGACCAGCTGAGGCAGGGGAGGGGAAGCATCGACCTGGAATCGGCGATGCAGCGACGACAGGTCGGCGATAGGCCCCCGACAGCGAAGCCGCACGCTCCTGGGCGGGGCGGGCTATCGGGCCCCTGCTGGCGATCGGGGGGCGATCGGGGATCGAGGCGTCCCCCCTGGACCTCTCCCCCTCCCAAACGTTGCCCCCCTGCTGCCGGGTCACACCTCAGCTCTCTGGCGGCCGCTTGCGACGCTCCGGGCACCCCTGGAAGGCTCTCGGCGAGACGCAGCTGCTGGAGGGCACCCCGGGGCTGAAAGGCCGCCGGGAAACGGACGGACACGCCCGACAGTTCCCGAGCCTGGAAACTCGAAGCCCCCGAGCCCAAACCCCCGCCCCGAGTCGTTGCCCCTGAGCCTCCCCGAAGGCGGTGACGAAGATCGTGTGGGAGACGCCGGCGGCCACGAAGCGGACGGGCGTCTGCCCGTCTCCGCCGCCGAAGCCGGGCAGCGGGGACGGATGGAGCATCGTGGCGACCTCCCCGAAGCCCATCGAGCAGCTGTGCTCCAACCTTTCGCGAGCGGTGGGCGCATCTTGAGCAGGGGCCGACCGCCCTGGCGTTCCTATAGCCCTACCACGGCATGCTCTTAGAACCCCCAGAATGTTCGAAGAACAAAAACACTGTTCTTGGACAGTCTCGGCCAGACATGTTCTACGAACATGTCGTGTGAGAACAGTCTTCGGTGGGCCTGCAGGCATGCGAGGACGCTTCGCCACTGCTCGAGCATCCATGTCCACGCCCTCGCGGTCTGGACTCTGGGGCGCGACCCCGCGGATACGCGGCCGCACGGGTGCGTTGCGCGCGAGGCATCGGCGAGACATGGGCCGCCCCCGCGGGGTCGCGACCCAGCTGGGGGCCCCACCCGCCGGGCCGGGGAGACGCGGCCGCCCGGAGGCGTTGCGCGCGGGGCAGCCGCGGAAAGACACCCCGTGCTCGCGGGGTCGCGCTCCAGGGGCCCGGCCCGCGAGACCGTGGCTAGGGGCATCCCTGACTCCGGTTTTTCTTCCTATTTAAAATTGCGTCGGAAATCCACCTATACGTGGCCGAAAAAGTAGGGCGGAAATTCCCGCCCCCAAGAAGCAAGGCTAATAGTTTCGCCTTACTGTTTGACGTTTCGGATCAAGTCCAGCAGGGCGGAAATTGGCATCGTCAAGGCTTGAAAAGCGTGGCGGAAATTCCAGGCCCAACTTGCGAAATTGCCCAAAGCAGGGCGGATCCGGAGTCAGGGAGGGCTCGCTCGGTCGCGCTCCAGGGGCCCCTCCTCCTCCTCCTTCCCCTCCTCCTCCTCCTCCTCCCTCCCTCCCTCCCTCCCTCCCTCCCTCCCTCCCTGCCTCCCTGCCTCCCTCCATAACCTCCCTCCCTCCTCCCTCCCTCACTCCCTCCCTTCCTCCCCTCGCCCCTCCCCCCCCTCCTCCGCCTCTCCTCCTCCTCCTCCTCCTCCTCCTCCTCCTCCTCCTCCTCCTCCGCCTCCCTCCTCCTCTCCTCCTCCTCTCCTCCTCCTCCTCCCCTCCTCCTTCCTCCTCCTCCTCCTCCTCCTCTCTCCTCCCCCTCCCCCTCCCCCTCCCCCTCCCCCTCACCCTCCCCCTCCTCCTCCTCTCCTCCTCCTCCCCTCCTCCTCCTCCTCCTCCTCTCCTCCTCCTCCTCCTCCTCCCTCCTCCTCCTCTCCTCCTCCTCCTCCTCCTCCTCCTCCTCCTCCTCCTCCCCCTCCCCCTCCCCCTCCCCTCGTCCCCTCCCCCTCCTTCCTCCTCCTCCTCTCCTCCTCCTCCTCCTCCTTCTCCTCCTCCTCCTCCTCCTCCTCCTCCTCCTCCTCCTCCTCCTCCTCCTCCTCCTCCTCCCTCCTCGCTCCGCCTTCCCCCTCCCCATCCCCTCCCCCTGCCCCCTCCTCCTCCTCCTTCTCTTCTCCTCCTCCTCCTCCTCCTCCCCCTCCTCCTCCTCCTCCTCCTCCTCCTCCTACCTCTTCCTCCTCCTCCTCCTCTCCTCCTTTTCCTCCTCCTCCTCCTCCTCCTCCTCGCTCGCTCGCTCGCTACCTAAGGGCAAAAGAGGTTCGAAGCCCCCACTTAAAAGGGTGGGAGAGAAGGCGAAGACAGCACCCCACCATGCACATGCAGAGGAAGGGGGGAGGGTGAGATGGGTGGCTCAGGAGCCTCCCTCCGCAGACCTGCTTAGGAAGGCCTGCATCAGGAGCGTCGCGGCGAGACCAACCGCAGACGCAGGGAACTGGCCCCCATCACGTGGTGGAGGGGGATGGCCATAGCTATGATGACAACGCCCCCCGCACAATCCAGGCACGAAAGCGTCCAGAGACGCAAGACCCTTGGCCACGACAAGGCTGGGATACAAATGCGGAGCCCCGAAAGAGCACATATCCACCACAACCGAATCCACACCATCGAAACTGATCAGTCCTCTAAGCTCGGGCGCTTTCTGACACGCGTGCGGGACGAACAGGATAAAGGGCAGGTCAAGCTGCACACGCATGAGACAAAAGAAAAGAGCGGCCTGCAGGGACTCGTTGTCCTCACCTACCTCCTCCCCTTCCTTCTGCGAGCATCGGTCGCAGCCCCAGGGCCTTGCCTGAGACCGTGCAGTGTGTCCTTGATCTCGCCACGATGGTAGGTGAGGGGCAGCTAGAAGTCCTGCGACCTCGCCCTCGGCCATCCTTCTCTCCCAAAGTCCGACCTCATCCCGTCCTGGCCAGGAGGCAAGCAGGGCACCTGGAGCGAGAGGGTCAGAGCAGGAGGTGTCACTAAAGGCCCTCACCATTCTAATGTCCTCGGCCTGCAGTCCCAAGAGACCCACGATTTGCGCATCGGGCCAGGTAACCAGGCGATGGCACTCCATGGGGGGCGGCCCGTCGTCTAACTCAAAGGGCACACGGGGGATAGCAACTCGCTCAGGGAGAGTATCAACTATCCTCAACCGAAAGGGGGGTCCGTAAACCTTCTGCGCAGGGACGAGGGCAAACGTGTCCGACTTGCCCCTCCTCCTATTATCCCGAGCTTCGAGTTTTCGCTGTTCCACCGCCTCTTGAAGCTCATCCTCGCTGGGTCTCAGGGGGGAGGTGACCCACGCACGAAAACGCGCAACGGACCTGTGAAGGTGCTTGATCAGCCTCACCCCCTGCCAAAATTCCACGCAGCAAATGGGACACATCGAACCAGTGGCCACCATCTCGGGGGCATCCACTGTCTTGTGCTGCTTAGATCTGTGAATCCTGTAGAGACGAGCCGCGCGCGCCACGTGCCCACACTCGTAACACAAGTAACCTTGAGCATTCTCGGGTGCAGGCGGGGGTGGCAAGGCCTCGTTAACCTGCGGCTGGCTTCCCCCAGAGGGGTGGGGGGGCTCAGAGTCTGTCGGTGCTTCCGCCCAAGCCCTAACTGGCTCGGCACTCGTGACAATGTCATGAGGATTGGAAGACATCTCATCATTGCCCAAATGCTCAGGCAGCTGAGGCAATTCCTCATCAAGCTGCTGATATAAATCAAAGGCGTCCCGCTGAGCCAAGCTGTCTCGCTTGGCCTGCTGAAGAACATTGCGCAAAGCTGGACACTGGAGTTTCTTGATTGCTCTCAACTGCCATTGTCGATGCCGCAACGTAATGTTCCAACATCTTTTGGCACTGGCAGCAGCTTGAGCAACAATAGCTAAATATTCACGCTTATTCGACCGAGCCAAACGGATCCAAGAATCATCGTCGAACCCATACTGCTTATCATTTGCAAGAAGGCACTGCCTGATCCATCCAAAATCCTGCCTTACTAAGCGCGACCAGCCCTTACCCCACATGAAATCGAGTAAAAGTCGCACCAAAGGGGGCGCGCCAACCAGTATTCTAGGAAGTAGCCTGAGCCTTGCGACTATCAAAACGATGTGTAACGGTAGCTTCTTGACCGAAACTAAAACGTCCACTAGCGATTCTCGAACTTCCCTGCAATTCAAGACGCCAAGGTTCAGCGGGGTCCTGTAGATTGAAATGTAGCCCGTCAATGCTCGTCGGTAAAGGTATCGTGGTAGATGATCCCACGTGCCAACTGCAAAAAGAAACTTGGATCCAGCATATGCTTCGCTGTATCTGACCTTGTGCGTCATGTCTAACTGTGTACAGGTCGCAACCACTTTCTTTATCGGTCTCAAAGCCGATCTTGCACTTCTGATCCGCTCCGTGATTTCGTCACTCATGGTGCCACCATCATTGAAGCGCACTCCTAGCACTTTGTGCACCCTCACAATTGGCACACGAAAGTCGTAAAGCTCACTGGCCAAAAAACCAGCCTCTTTGGTGTGGAACTTTCGGGCTTGCGTTCTGGCACCCTTCCCTCGAAAGCTTAGCATTACAGCAGTTTTGTTGAAATTCAGTTTGAACCCATGCTTTGTACACTGTACGTATATAATCTCAGTCATTCTCATTATCCTATAGTCGAGCTCCATGGCCGAAGCCGCCACCAAGGCCGTAAGGTCATCAACAAAGGAAGTGCTGGAGTGGGATTTCTCCAAGTCAGATTCTGAGCCAAAATGGGCGACGGATGGGGGAGGTGTCCAAACCAAGTCCTCCTGGGCGGCATGTAACTCCACTCGTCCCTGGATCCGTGCAAAAAGGACATTGAAAACGTCCGTAGCAGGTATGGTGCCAGGGCGGCACCCACGACCAGGGCACTCGAAACCTTGAGCCCCTCGGACTCTCCAAAAACTGCCAACCTGGCTCTCACGCACCAGCTCAAGCAGATGCGGGGGCATATCAACGTCGTCCAGGGCCCCCCCCCGCTTCGAGCTCAGCCTCTAACCCCGCACGCACGAAAGGCCCCAAATCATCGTTCAGGAGCGCATCTTCGAGCCTGCCCGCCTCAAGGGGGAGAGAGAGGCACAGCTGTTTGAGGGCAGAGTAAAAGGCCGCGTGCAAGTCAACAAAGACTCCCCCCCCCCCCCCGCAGAGAGACCATACTCCTTAGTGGCGTTCCAAAAAGCTCTAACCATCATAAGCGCCCCCTCCAACCCGCGGCCTGGGAGACCTCCGCACTGCGCACTTAGGATCGCTCGCTCCACGAATCTGAGCGAGGCTTGACGAAGCATTTTGTGATGCAACTTGCCTAGTGTACTGCCTAGCAACACGTTGCGCTGGTTGGGCATAAGGTTCGTCGCTCCTTTTCCTTTGTGAAAGAACACAATCTCTCCGCTCTTGAATCCAATGGGTTCTCTCTGATGCAAGCACGTCTTGAGCAGGAGAGGATATACAAGCCTAGCAACCTCCTCGCTGGCACATCTTCCAAGGTCCGCCACTATGCCATCCATGCCAGCAGCCTTGCGGGGGGGGGCACTTGCAAATGTTCTGCTCAGTGTTGGAGAGAGTTGGGAGGTATTCTAAAGTCGCGTCAGGCTTTGGGTCGGGGCGCCTGCTAACCAAATTGTACTCTTCACATAACTGTTCACAATCCACGCTCTTCGCGACTTCAATGTGAGCGAAGTGCTTCTGGGCAATCTGCGCTATTTCCCCTGGAGTCGTCGCAGCCTGCCCCTGCTCATCAAGCATGTCTGGAAAAGCAGTGCCTTTCTTGGGGGGTTTGCCTCCGAAACGCAAAGCGCGATCGAGCGCGGCCCATTCCTTTGCAGGAACGTGCCCGTCGATCGCAATGGAAACCTCACCAAATTGCTTGACCAGAAAATCAGCCCGATCCTGGTGCATATTATCTATCAGAAGTTGCTGAGATGTCAGCATAAAGCCGTTGAGCGAAAGGTGGAACAAGTCGACAAACAACCTCTTCCTGAGGAAGGACTCAACCCACGAGGCCAGCTCCATTCTGGCCGCTCCCCATTGCTGGTGATGGCCCAACCTGCTCAGAGAGAGATCACCCGTGTGTAATCTAGAGGCCACGTGCCCAAACACCCTCGCACGATAATCTTCACTCCCCATAGCCTGCTTGACCAGGGCCTTTTGAATAGCCCTGCGAGTCGCAATGAGCGCGAGGGTGGAGGCAGAGAGGTAGCATGCGCGTGGGCGGCGCTTCTCCAATGGAAAAGCCTTAGCAGCAGCAATGTGTAGCTCATGCACGACAGAGGCGAGGTGCTCGTTGACTCCGCTCTCCCAGGCCGGCACAGAGACGGCCCCAAGAAGCCCACGAAAGCTGGGCACACATGCTTCGTCAGACATCTTATTACGATCACACCAGGGGCATGGAGACCGATGCTGACATACACCCTTCTTCCACTGGAAATTGACTTGCAGCGGCGCATGATCAGCCTGCTTGGCACAGAGGTCCAAATCATAACGAGTCTTGACGAACACAACCGAGCCCATTAATGCCTCGCCGCAACAAACGTAGTCAATTCTATGTTTGCACCCCTCCTTACCTACAAAGGTGTGGCTGTGGGGGTGGGGGACCTTGGTATTAACGACATGGAGGTGGTTGTGCGCCACACAAGTGTGCAGCGCGGCTCCTGTGGGGTCCTCATCCTGAACAAACCCCTCTCCCCCAACCCACTGTGAGCTCACGCTCCCAAGTCGCCCATTGGCGCCCACAAAAACTAAAGTCACATCCCGTTTCTCCCACATGGCGTTTGTCTCCTCCCAAAAATTGCTGATGCCCTTCCAACTGTGTCCCGAATGAGGAGCATGAAGCACTGCAACCCTAGCTCTGCAAGCAGAAGAATCAAGCGATACAATGAGTCGCTTCGGGTCTGAGTGAAGCGCCACAACCTGTTGTCGCTTGAATGTTACCTCCTTCCCCTTGGAGGCAGCTAGCGGCTCTTCAAGGTTGACCCACAGCTCACATCCCAGACCCCCATTTACGTGTCCTGACGCCGCGATGAGGAAAGGTCCCGACATGCGAACCCCCCTGGGGTTTCTGGACTCCTGGATCCCTATCAAGTGAAGCTTTTCAGCGGCAAACTGCGTCTTGAGGATCTGGGTCCTCATCAACCTGCGCTTGCCCCTGGACCCCTTGGAGGCCCTGCAATACATGGATTTGGCATTAAACTGCACTGTGCGCAACATGACCTGCTGCTGGGTATCCTTGTAGGACCTCTCTCTGGGGCAATCGTCAAGTGTGGCGAACTGAGAGATGACTTTGAAATCTAAAGATCCCTCCTCTAGAGAAGGCATTCCTAGGGAAGCATGCTGAAAAGGCGCCCTGGCCCATTCCCATTCCCTGCATGGAGAGTAGGAGGCCATGCTGAGGAGAAGCGAGTCAAATACGATACCCTGTATATGCTGCTGAGCTGCCTGCTTAGCAACATTGTCGGCTAACATGTTCCAATGATGGAAGCAATGACTCTTGATGTGATACACTTCCAGCGCCCCCCTGGCTCTGGCCACCCGATAAGCAATGCGCGCAAGCATGGCAAGTTTATCCTCTTTACCTGAGACTGCTCGACCCGCGACCAAATCGATAGCTGACTTGGAGTCCGACCAGATCTGCACCAGTTGATTCTCGTTGCGTTCTCTATCACAAAGAACGGCAATCAGTGTCCACAGCAACGCAAGCAACTCAGCGTCAGTGCTGTCAAGGCGCTGGCGGTGGGGCTCGATCATGCAGCTGTGCTGCCACTCAGAAGTCCAGAATCCCTGGAAAGCCGAGTCCCCTTGAGGACCCGTCGAGACGCGAATTATCGCCCACGCCGCCACATGATTATCTTCACGCCTCTGATTCTCGAAATGCGAACCGTCAGCGTAGTACGTGATGGTGTCTCTGTCCCCCATGGCCCTTGTCGGACAGAGTTCTAACGCAATTCTAGCTGGGGCTTCGACGTCCTGGGTTTTGACCCTGAAGTTCCAGGACGGGGCAGTGGCCTGCCCAGCCAGTTCCCAAAGCGACGGCTCACGCGGTAACATGACCTTGCGCACTTCATTCCCCGAAGCGGGCTCAGTCCTCAAGCAAAATCTGTCTCGGGCGCATCCGTCGTCCGAGACATCACACCCAAAGGGAGACGGGAGAGGGTGCGGTGCAAATGCACCAATTGGGGCTGCCTTCGCTTGTAAAATTCTCTCACCTCCAAGCGGCCCATCATTCCCCTGGGCACTGATATCTGCCCCTACTCTATTAGGGGCAGAAACCGAATTGACTGTGACAGACGATGGCAGCTCTTCTTTTTCACTCGGCTGCGAAGCGGAAGAGGCCGAGCGCCCGCCTCCAAGTCGGAGAGGCGGACCAGCAGAAAGGCTCTGCTGAACAGACAGCTGCTCATCGATGAAGGCAGAACCCCTGCACCCTCCTCGCTCGAGCTGTTTCGCTCCAGCTGTTCTTGGCGCGTGGGGGTCGTAAAAGTAACATGCAGATGCTGAGGCCTCGGAGGCAGCGCCCTCCCAGGTCTGAAAAGCTAGGTTGTCCCGCGCTGGCACGGACAGCAACTGACTGAGTGGCTTGCGCTGGGCAAGCTTGTAACTATTCTGAGAGGCAAAAGCACTGGTCACAGGTCTGGCCACAGAAATGCCCTCCCCCCTGGAGGCTCTAAAAGTCGGCTTCGCCTTCAAAATGGATGCTGGCCTCTCAAAAGATGAATGCACTGGGCGAGGTGGTTCATCATTCACGAAAAACTCACGAATCTTCACACTACCGAAAGTCAGTGTCGCTGAGTCTTTTCTGGTGGCGACCTGATGGGGCTCGTCTGTGAGGGACTCGCCAACTGCGCCGGTGCCTCGGCCGCCGATAAGGCTGCGTGCACCTGATCGATCTCCATAACCTGCCTTTCGATATGGTCCTGAGTGGTCTCCACCTCGATTGCTCCCGGTATGCTCACCTGTGGTCCCGAGGTGCTCTCTACCTCCTGGGATGGCCAAGGCTGCGTCGGCGAGATGGGTTCGACAGGTAGAGGGCCAGGTACTTCCTCTGCTAGCTCCAAGGTATTCTGAGTATCCTCTAGGTCCTGCTTGATATCCAAGAACTCGTCCTTGGCGTGGGGATCCCTCTTCATCGGTGCGCTGGGCGACCTCTGAGCTGCCTGCGGTGATGTGGCTGGCGGCGTCGCTGGCACTGGCGTGTCTGTGCCACCAATTGGTGTCGGCGAACGGGGGGCGCCACCCCCCCACAGAAAAAGGGGTCCCTTTCCCTTCTCCTCCGCAACTTGAGGCGCTGCTCCCTGGTGTGGCAGAGGGACGTCTCCCTGCTGAGCTGCACGCTGCGCCTCCTCTGCTGCGAAATGATGCAGTGCTGGATGCATCTCTGGCTGCTGCGCTGGCTGCATTTGCGGCGGGAAGACCGCCTGCGCTGGGACCTGTCCAACAGGCAAGGGCGGCACTTGCTGCTGCGGCGACATCACCTGATCTGCCCCACTCTGATGATGCTGCACCTGCGCCGCCGCCGCCGCCTGGTAGTTGAAGGCCTGCCACATCTGTCCCATGATGCGCTCCGTTTCGTTTTGCCTGTTCGCCATGCCCACCAGCAGCCCTCTTATCTCCGCCATGTCGTTGACGGACTCGAACGTTCTGTCTGGCACCTGTTGCTGGTACTGATGATTGTGCGGCGCATACTGCTGTTGTGGCTGCCCAGAGCATCCACTTGGCGCGCCGCCCCCTGTCGCTGCCATCTGCTGCTGCATGTCTGCGGCTTCCTCCTCCATCATGTCCTGTATCTCCTTCGCACATATTTTGTACTGTGTGATTTCGCTGATGATGGCGGGCTCCTCGATTTGTAGGTCCTTGATTCGTCCTTGCACGTTGGCTAAGCGCTCCTCCGCTCCTTCGAGCTTGGCCTGATACTCTGACTGCTGTTGCCGCAGGGACATCGTCGACTGTGCCATGCACTTGAGTGTCGCTATCTTTTTGTCGTGCATGTCCGCCAGTGCGTGCTCCTTGGCACGCCTTGCTGTCAAAGCTAGGATGGCGAAATCCGTAAGCTGTTGCCTGATAGTGAGGCGAAACTGATGCTGCTCTGCACTGGTTTCTGGCGGCTGTCTGAAAAGCTGCTCTGCTGCAGCTTCCTCTTTTGTCATCGGAGGCACTCGCTGAATATACTGTCGAATGTCCCTGTCCGAGAAACGTGTACGACTGGCTGGGCGAGCGTCTCGCCCTCCCCCTTTGTGAGCAGCTCCCTTGCCGTAGCCGTACCCCTTGCCGCCCTTGTCTTGAGCTGACGGAGCCATGCCTGGATGGTACCTTTGTCCACAGAAACACTGCGCGTGATGCTTGACATACCTTCCACACTGTGCGCAGTCCCATGTCGGAATCCATCCTCTCATCGTCAACTCACTCAAATTCAGATTGCTAGTCACGGCCTGCTGGGCCGAATGGTGCGAGGCGAGCTCCAAATAGGCCCGATGGAGCCTCACGAGAGTCCTCGCCTTGGACCTTTCTTGACGGGCCCGTCGATGTGCAGCTCCCTCCTGGGGGCGCGCCGTGACCCAAGGCGCGCCGAGGCAGCTATCGCGGGGCCCGGGGCGCGGCACGCTCTGGCGTGCGCGACGGGGTTCGGCCGAGCAAAATCCCTGTGCTCAGGCCAAACCCTCTCTCCTCCTCCTCCTCCTCCTCCTCCTCCTCCTCCTCCTCCTCCTCTTCCTCCTCCTCCTCCTCCTCCTCCTCCTCCTTCCTCCTCCTCCTCCTCCTCCCCCTCCTCCCCCTCCTCCTCCTCCTCCTCCTCGCCTCCTCCTCGTCCTCATCCTCCTCCTCCTCCTCCTTTCCCCCTCCCCCTCCTCCCTCCTCCCTCCTCCTCCTCTCCTCCTCCTCCTCCTCCTCCTCCTCCTCCTCCTCCTCTCCTCCTCTCCTCCTCCTCCTCCTCCTCCTCCCCCCCTCCCCCTCCCCCTCCTCCTCCTACTCCTCCTCCTCCTCCTCCTCATCCTCCTCCTCCTCCTCCTCCTCCCTCCTCCTCCCCTTCCCTTCCCCCTCCGCCTCCTCCTCCTCCTCCTCCTCCTCCTCCTCCTCCTCCTCCTCCTCCTCCTCCTCCTCCTCCGCCTCCTCCCGAGGTCGTGGACAGGGGCAGGTCTTTCGCCCACGAGCCTTCCCGGGTCGCCAGACTTCATGCCCCACGCGTAGACGCCCCCGTCGCGGGTCACGGCGAAGGCCTGGCCATATCGGGTGGAGATCTGCGCCACCTGGATCCCGTCCAGCTCCTCGAGATAAGACTGACTACCTACCAGACCACCCCAACCCAACCCGAAGACCCGAATTTCGGGTTGGGGGGGGTATGGGTTCCCTACGTGTTTTTTCGATGTTCCCCGACCCCCCCCCCACTGGAAATGGAGGGCAAATTGAGGCCTTCGGGTTGGGTTGGGATGGTTTGGTAGGTGGTGAAAGACAGGAGCAGCACATCGCGTAAACGTAAACTTGTGGCGGTCCGCGCGGGCTTCTTGGATCTGCGCTGGGCCCCCGTCCCTGGCGCGCGGAGCGCTCCAGCGCGGGTCCCAGGAATCCGCGCGGAGCGCCGAAAGTTTATGTTTATGCCGTTTCTTGTTTTGTTTTCTCTTTCTTCTTATTCTCATTCGAATTGTTAATTCTTACTATTCTCCTTCTTCGAAAGAAGAAACACAGCTGCACAAACACAGCCTTTCAGAGCTCCGCGCAGATCTCTTGGATCGGCGCCGGAGCCAGCTCCCCGCCGGCGCGCGGGGCGCGCCTCTGGAGCAGCGCCGGAGGGCCCCTGCGCCATACAAGAAATCCGCCGCATGGGGCTCCGAAGGCGTAAGGTTGTGCCGTTGTTCTCTTCTTCGAAGTGTTCGGGAGAGTGGCGGAACTGATTTTTGTTTTTCTTGTTGAGCAGTCGGCGAACCCGTACAATTACTACGACGACGTGTCCACGCTGCATGGTGGTGGCGCCTCGCAGACCACGTCCAGCCAGGCACAGGGCGCTGTCCCAAGTCTGCACAGGGAAAGGGCCTGGCAGATTGGACCCGGCGGGGCCCGAAGAGAGTGGAGAACTGCCCGCTGCAGGGGCGCATTGCGTGGCATCGCCTGGCATATTGTTGTCGACTAGGGGATCGACGACAGAATCGGTTTACCCCAGAATCGATTTGCTTGTTGCCTGTACGACAAATACGTGGGATGCTCGTAAAACATTCCACGCATCTGTCGTAGATCAGACGAGAATATCAACTGGGGGGTACACCGATTCTGCAGTCCATCCCCTGCATGGTGCTTGGCATATTGCTTGGCATTGGTTTGCCTTCTTCGACTCCTTCAGCGGGTGCAGCTCCACGTCATGGATCACGAGGTTCGACTTGCGACGGACCTGCGCGTACATCAACTGCCCGGTCGAGGTCAGGGCGAACACGGCGTGCCTCGAAGCCGCCAGGGTCGCGACGATGACTTGCTCGACCCGACCGCCAGGGCCGCTGCACGACGCCCCGCCCTCGCCTGGGTGAGCCCGAAACTCGCCATCGCTCGGACGTCCACTCCCCGTGCACTTTCGGCTTCGTACGTGTGTGTTTTCGCGAGATGGCCTAAAAGGCTCCCAGATGGCCCTCGCCGAGAAAAAATGCACACGTCCGAGCGATGCCAAGGAAGTGGGTATGGAAAGAATGGGCACGAGGCCAAGCAGCAAATGCTGCCCGAATCCGACGGCGGCCGCTTCTGAGCGGGCGATTCTTGTGTCTCGGCTGGGAGACACCAGCGAAGACACCGACAACGAGTCCTGTTCCAAATGGGCAAGACCTGCTGTTGGGTTTCCTCCACAGCCTATCCGTGCTCAGAAGGGGGGAGGAGGAGGAGGAGGAGGAGGAGGAGGAGAGGTGGAGGGAGGAGGAGGAGGAGGAGGAGGTAGGAGGAGGAGGAGGGGAGGAGGAGGAGGAGGAGGAGGAGGAGGAGGAGGGAGGAGGAGGTGGAGGAGGAGGAGGAGGAGGAGGAGGAGGGAGGTAGGGAGGAGAGAGGGGGAGGAGGAGGAGGCAGGAGGAGGGGAGGAGGAGGAGGAGGGAGGAGGGAGGGGGAGGAGGGAGGAGGGAGAGGGAGGAGGAGGAGGAGGAGGAGGAGGTAGGAGGAGGAGGAGGAGGAGGAGGAGGAGGAGGAGGAGGAGGAGGAGGGAGGAGGGAGGAGGAGGAGGAGGGAGGAGGAGGAGGAGGAGGAGGAGGAGGAGGAGGAGGAGGAGGAGGAGGGAGGAGGAGGAGAAACGGTGGGAGGAGCATCGCCGCTCACGACTGGCACCGCCACCCGCGGCTGCAGCGCCGGCCAGTCCGCCTCGGCCTGCCCGTCCGCCTCCGCGCCCCGGGCCTCGAGCCAGCCGGGCCGGCCCCAGATGAGCAGCCGGCCCCTGCCGTCGATGCCCACCGAGTAGTTCTCCGAGGCGGCGCACGTCGGCCGCCTCCCCATAGGTCGAGGGCCAAGCCGGGCTTAACCCAGACCTCCTCGCGTCGTGAAAAAATCACGACGGGGGGGGTTTTCCCTATTGTCGGCCTCCGGGGGCCCTCGCCGGGCCTCGGGACCGTCAAAAAACGACTCAGGACGAAAAACCGGTCCCGGGGAAGGGGTCCAGACCTCTGGGGGTCGCGTCATGAAAAAATCATGACGTCGGGGGTCTGCCTCAGTGGGCCCTGGAAACGACAGGGCCATTTGTTTGCCGGTTCCGTTCTGCCGTTTTTGTTGCCGGTTCCGACGCCGTTTCTTCACCGGGTTCCGTCGCCGTTGTTTGACCGGTTCCGGCTCCGGTTCCAATCCTGGAGCCGTTTTTTTGCCGTTTCCGGTCGCCGTCTTTTTGCCGTTTCCATTGTCAAGGGGCATTTTTTGGGAAACGGTGGAAAAACGGCCCTGCCGTTTCCGGGGCCGGCTAAGAAACCGGGTGGGGATAAATCGAGAATCTCAGAGGTCCGGCGGCTCTGGAGGACGTATCGGGCGCCGCGGCCTTCTCAGGGTGCTCTGGACCGCTCTGAGAGCGTTGAGGGAGGCTATGGCACGGACTCATCCTCGTTCTAGCCCCGTCCGACAGACCCCCTCGAGACATGAAATGTCCCTGCGACGTAACCAACCCATCTGCATCAGAGGACAAGAGAGGCTGGTCCAGAATCGCATGGCTGATGACAACACGTGGGCGGACCACTCCAGACCCCCTCGAGTCAAGAAAAAATAACGGCGGGAGGTTTTCGCTACTCTTGGCCTCTGGGTGCCCTTGCTGGACCTCGGGGCCGTCAAAAAACGACTCGGGGTGAAAGACTGGTCCCAGGGACTGGGTCGAGACCTCTGGGGCTCGACGTCATGAATCACGACGTCGAGGAATCTGGGCCTCGGGGGCGTCCAAGACGGGGGCGCCCAAGAGGGGGGCTCGCAGATCATGGCCCGAGGCATGTGCGCAGCTTATGAAACAAGAAGGGGGGCCATGAAATATTGTATTGTGGCTCCGGCCACAGTGGCCACCCCCTCTTTGTCATCGTCCCCCTCGTGGTCGCTCCCGAGCCTCCAGAGGGAGAAACGACGGCGCGCGCCTAAAAACTTTCGGAGCCCCGCATGGACTGCTCGGGCGCCGCTGGGGGGGGGGGGCCCGCGCAGGTCCGAGCCGTCCGCGCGGGGCTCCGAAGGTGTCAGCGTGTGCCTTTTATTCCATTCCCTTCTTCGAATTGTTGGGCGCTTCGGGTCCCTCCCCAGACCCCCGACGTCGTGATTTTTTCACAACGTCGACCCCCGGAGGTCTGGACCCCTTCCCCGGGACCGGTTTTTCGTCCTGAGTCGGTTTTTGACGGTCCCGAGGCCCGGGAAGGGCCCCCGGAGGCCGAAAATGGCGAAAAACCTCCCGTCGTGATTGTTTCACGACGCGAGGGGGTCTGGGTCCTGGGTCTCTGGAGGCCGGCTGGGAGTCTCTGGGCACCCACAGGTGCTCTAGCAAATTTGCAGGCCAGGGTCCGGATCGGGTGCAAGCCGTGTCCGCTTTGCGGACCTCCCCTCCCCCCCCCCCCGGCGCAGGCCCCCTCCGCGGCAGGGCGGGGCGGTGTGCTGGCCCTTCTCCCCCGAGCCTCGCGACGCACTGCCGCTGGGCCCGGTGGAGCATCCTCTCTCCGCGCGCGAGGCGGACGCTCCCGCCGGGCACCAGCAGCAGGAGGCGCGCCGACCGCAGCTGGTGCGCGCACGCCTCCGCCACGGCGGTGCCGAGCGGCGGCGCCGCCGCGCCCAGGCGGGCGAGCTCCACGGGGCGCAGCAAGGCCGGGCACCAGGCGAGGCAGCCCTCGACGGCGGCGACCTGGGGAACGCAGGAAGACAGCGGTACTCCTCGACCTGCACCTTCCGCGCCTTCCGCGCGGCAGGTGCAGCGGCGGCCGCGGCGATCGCGGCAGCCGCATCGCGGCGGTCGCGGTCGAGGGACCAAATGGTGAGGTCATTGGAGAAGGAACCCGTGGATAAGGAATCCAGGATCTGAAAGCCGGTGGAGCACCGGTTGAGGCTTCCCTGACTCCTGATCCGCCCTACTTTGGGCGATTTCGAAAGTAGGGCGGAAATTTCCGCCCTACTTTTGAGGCCCCTTTGAGCGTCGATTTCCGCCCTTGAGGCTCCTTTGGCGTCGATTTCCGACGCAATTTTAGGTCGGAAAATCATCCAAAGTACGGCGGATCAGGAGCCAGGGTTGGCCATGGATGTCACCGCCGCCATCATCAGATAAATAGTCCTCCAGGGTCTGAGGCCTCGTGGGCACACTCCTCAGAGCACGCCCCACGGATATCACCGCCGCCCTCCTCAGAGACATAATCCTCCAGGGTCTGAGGCCTCCTGGGAACAGTCCCAACCGTACAAAAAAACACCGCTGCACCTCCTCCTCCTCCTCCTCCTCCTCCTCCTCCTCCTCCTCCTCC